AAGTGAGAGATCTCTGCCTCTGAGACAGGTAGGCAGGTGAAGATGTGCACCCATTAGAGGTAAAGCCTAGTGGTGGAAGGAAGGCAAGTTATGAAAGTTCATGGCTGAAGGCCTCATTTCCTCTGCTGATTTGCTCAAAGGAAGGTCATGCCCTGAGAATGGAGGAAGTAAACACTTAGCAGTCCCGGGAAAAGGACCTTGTCAAGATATTCCCAAACTCCACTCTTTCCCAGAGGCCTAATACTTGAGGTGTGCTAACAAGGAGTGTTCATTTTCAAATCTGGCTCATACAACGTATGTGCAACAGGTTTCTTTTTGCATTCCAGGACAGGATCCCACTTTTGACATTTTGGGCACTTTTTTTGAGAAAAGAGTTATATGAATGAAATTACAAATTTGTCCTTTTCAGTTGGATTCTTTTCATGTTGAGTTGTAGGAGTTCTTTATTTTGGTTATTAACCGCTTGTCAGAAATATCATTTGCAAACATTCTCTCCCATTCAGTAGCCGTCTTGTTTTGTTCATGGCTTCCCCTGCTTCACTTTGGTATAATCTCAAATTTTATGGTTTCAGGTCTCACATTAAGGTCTTTAATCCACTTAATTTTGTATGGTATAAAAAAGTGGTCTAGTTTTCCCAACACCATTTATTGAAGACTGTCCTTTCCTCACTGAATATTCTTGCCTCCCCTATCACAGACTGATGGTATAGGCATGGGTTTATTTCTGGGCTCTTTATCCTGTTCCATTGATTTACATGTAACAAAACACATAACACACTTTTTTCATATCCAGGCTTTGTTGTTCCATCTATAGGGTGTAGGAAGATTTGGGATAATTCTCAAGGGCGTTAAGATTCTCAGAATGGTAAGTGAGCACTGGCTTCAACCTAAAGTTACCAGCTGCAAAGGCTCCTAACAAGAGTCGGACTGCCCGTTGAAGCTTTCGGGCACTGACTTCTCCTCTTCAGCTATGAAGTTCCCGGTGGGACCTTCTTCCAGTAGAAGGCTTGTGTCGTCCACAATGAAGATCTGTTAAGTGTAGCCACACTCATTAATTTTCTTAGCCAGACATTCTGGATTCCTGGCTGCAGGTTCTACAACGGCACTTATTGCTTTATCTTGAACTTTCATGTTATGGAGATGGTTTCTTTCTTTAAACCTTATGAAGAACTTCTGTTAGCTTCAAACTTTTCTTACACAGCCTCCCCACCTCTCTTGGCCTTCACAAAATTGGAGTAGGCTTTGGCTTAAGGAACTGTTGCTGATTTTATCTCCTATCCAGACCACTAAAATTTCCCCCTATCAGCAATGAGGCTGTTTGGTTTTCTTATCATTCATGTGTCCACTGGAGTAGTAGCACTTTTCATTTCCTTCAAGAACTTTTCCTTCCATTCACAACCTGCTGACTGTGCCAGAAGCCTAGCTTTTGGCCCATCTTGACTTGCGACCTGCCCTCCCCACTGAGCTTAATCGTCTCTAGCTTCTGACTTAAAGTGACAGATGTGTGATTCTTCCTTGCACTTGAATGAAAGGCCACTGTAGGGTTATTACTTGGTCTTAGATGGAGGAGAGGGAGACAGGGAAACAGCCAGATTGGTGGAGTCATCAGAACATACACATATTTATGGATTAAGTTTGCTGCCCTTACATGGGGGCGGTCTGGGGCACCTGAAACCATAACAAAAGTAGTACCAAAGATCACTGATCACCAGAACAAACGTAATGAATAAAAACCTTTCAAATATGCAAAAATTACCAAAATGGGACACAGATATGAAGCGAGCAAATGCTAACAGGGAAATAAGGTTGGGATGCCACAACCCTTCAATGTGTAGAAAACTTACCTGCAGAGTGGAATGACGTGAGGGGCGGTGAGGTATGCTGAGGCAACATTCCTAGGGCCCTTCCCAGGACCTGGGCAAGTTAAGAGTTACCATGAAACTCAAGCTTCTGGGCCCCTATCTCTAGGTTTATGTGAGTCTTCTACTGACACCATACTTTGCTTTCCAAGTCAACTCCCTGCCCCCTCCCAATCCCTGGTCAAGTCCAAAGTTGAGTTTAGGGTCATTACGAAGTACAATAGACTTAATGTCTGTGTCTCCCCAAAAGTCATACTTTGAAACCTAATGCCCCGTGGGGTGGCATAGTCGGAGGTGGGGCCTTCGCTTGGGGAGGGGAGGGGAGGCAGGGCCTTCGTGAAGGAGAGTAGGGCCCTGACGAAAGTGGCCCCGGGGAGCTCCGTCAGCCCCCTGGCCCCCAGGTGAGGCCACAACCACAAGGCTGCAGCCCGCGACCCGCAACAGGCTCCTCACCGGAACCAACCTTGTGGGCACCTTGATCGTGGACTCCAAGCCTCCGCAAGTGTGACAGACACACTTATAAGTGGTTTATAAGCCACTCAGACTGCCGTACTTTGTGAACACACTGTCCATCCTCATAACCTTATTACTAATCCCTAGATTCAGAATTTAAATACCTCACACATTTTCAAATAAACACAAGACATGAGATCATTCATTTTATACCTTTTTGCTTTTATCTGATATAAAAATTCAGTGGGTGGTTATGACACAGCCTATCTAGCCTGATGAAGGAAATGTGTCAATCACTTTCAGGTCTGAAATTTTCTCCCTTTTCCAGTAACCATATGCTACCACGAACGGAAGGAGCTACATTCACGAGAGCTTTCATTTTGGACTAAACCTTAAAATCTACAAGAAGTGGGTTACTCTTCGTGTTTCTGATTTGTAAGACTAAGACTTACTATTTCACCATGAGAGGCATAAGTATACCTATTATACAAATTTAAATGTAACTCTTAAAGAACTACATAATAGTAGAACATCAACATTTTCTGGATAGGTGAAAGCTTTTATATTACATTTTTATTTTGCAAGAAAATAAATTATACAACTTAAAAAATAAAATCCAAAAATTAAGCAGTTCATCAAAATATTTCAGCCTACTGCATACAGAAACTGCTACCATTTAAAATTGTACAGCATTATCATCTCAGTATGTAGTGGCACACATTCAAAATCGTATATACCATACGAAGATAGATTACAACGTAGAACGCAAATTTGTTCAACACTCCAGACGACATATATAGTGTAGATGACAGGAAAGCTCTCATGTAAGGTTTATTTCACAAACATGACCTCGGAAGAGCTTATAAGATAGCATCCCAGTCATTTACATGAAAATAGAAAAACCGGCTTGAGTTTAAGATAGCAAATCTTTCTGGAAAACTAGCAAATCTTTCACCCAAGTTGAATTTTGAAAATTTGCCCAGTGAGCAGGGCTCATGACATCCTACTGCAAATAATGCAAAGTATTTTCTAATAACTCTGGTCATATTTTGTATTAAATTCGATAAAAAGTAAAAACAAGAAAGCTAACATTTCGTTTTTGGAAATTTCAACATTTATGCACAAAGTAAGAGTGAGAGACTTAAATGAACAGGTTGAACAGGTTGACAATGCAGGGACCCCTCCAATAAATGTAAAAATTGGAAGACTTCATAATTTATTTCAAGATCCTCATAAATCATTGGTACACTAATGTTCTAATATTTATTTCACTGTGAGCATTAAAATGGTTCTTTTTTACTTTATAAATTTTGCTTCACGTCTCCGAACTCCGGCAATGGGGGCAACAAAGGCTAATACTGGCCTGAAGGCTCCATCTTCCCACAAGAAAGGGAGCGCTCTGCCTCAGTGAACTTCTGGCAGCCCCCCCGACCGTGGCCTGGACTCCTCTCCCTGGTGTCAGGTCTCACCCCTGCTCAGGCGGCACGACTTTTACGTGCCATCGGAGAACAGGCGCTGAATAAAGAATACTAACTGCAATTTTGGATCTTTAGGAAATGCCTCACAAACTTTAATCCAGATTCCTTTTTGTTAATTAGCAAATCTATTGTCCAGACATATTTAAAGAAAACTTAACAATGGTATAGGCACCTCATCAACTAAACTGTTTTCATAAACACCAAAAAATAGGTAAACTTTTGTATACATAACAAGAAAAAAAATGATGATAACTGTAAGTCTACAGTATTTGTTGCTGTTCAATTTCCCAAAATACAATTAGGACATAATTAGCTATTAAAAAATTTATAAAATTGAATAGAAAACTTTGCTATGGATTTAATTGCCCACTTTTGCATTAAATTTTCCTTTATAAATCAAAACATCATGGCTCTCATTCTTAAATTAAATGACCAAAAGATGAGAAATTCCAAAAATGTCCTAAGAACAATTAGAGCTCGAAGCAACCAATCTTCAACTTTAAAACACGACCTGTAACTTCCCCTTCAGCTCTTCTCCCCCGTGGGCATTCTCATACTGGGTAAGCAAATATGCCGAGACTAGCCGTTTCTTGAATGTAAGGGTCACAATTATTACAAAATTATTATTTTCTAAATTTCAAATGTACCCATCATTCTCCATCCGCACATTTAGTTCAATTCTCCACGACACACTTCGTGTGATACCTGATGTGTGCTGCCCAGGGCTGGGCGTTAAGATTTTAAGTTGGAAACAAAATCCTAATTTTCTAGGAGTTTTGGAACAGGCATTTGAACATCACTGGCGGACACCTCAGATGTGAATCTGCTCTCCGTCCCGGCAGCAGGCAGCCCACGACACCTTCTGGACGGGGACAGACTCACCGCGACGCTCGTGTAACAACGCTGTCCACCGTGCACCTCTTGGAGCTAAGCTCTCCGCTTCCTCCTACCTCCAAAGTCATAGGTTTAAAACAGTACTTAATATCAAACAAGGTATAAGAGAATCTGAGAGAGAACTTGGAACGTGCAGCGTAATGACTAAAAATCGGCGTGAGAGCCACTCTTTCCCAACGGGAACGCGTCTGTCCCATGTTGGTCGCCTGTGTCCCCACGTCCCGAGCTCCACGTCACTCTGGATATTCAGTTCCCGGTAGACCAGTCCGCTGCTACTTTGGATTGACTGAAAGGAACAAGGTAAGTGTTGCCTTCGGAACATTTTAAAAACGTTTATTTTTAAAATATATAAATATATATGTACATATATTTGGCAAGTTTACTGCTTATATTAAGACCGCAACAATTTTGCTCATGCTTTTCAGGCCTTAGGTTGTGGTTTTTCTCTTCCTCCTGGGTAAAGGACACTCACTCCTCTTTAAAACAGAACGTCTTCCTTTCCAGAAACCTGAGGCTGTAAATCCCTTATCATCAGAGTTTAAAATTCCACAACATTTCTGTGCTGCAGATCAAGTGATCAGTCACGTAGCTGTATGCCAGGACAGTAGGTTTCTGCCCTCCTTTTCATAAATTTGGAAAGAATAAATTTGGCATAATAAATATTAGGAATATAAATATTAGGTGTGTTCCTGAACACACTTAATATGTTGGTTTGCTCTGCGATTTTTTTCTCTGCAACTTAAATGATCTACCTGTCTCCATACATTTTTTTTTACACAGTTCAAGCAACAAATTAATATAAGCTTCACTTTTTCAAAACAAGCTCTCCAGCCATAGAAGATTTAAAAACTCCTTATTTAACAACAAACAACTAAACTAACAGTCTCCTGCTTAAAAAGAAAGCCAACATTTCTAAGTTGGAAGAATCTTGTATCATTTTCAGGACACCACGAAATCCAGTCCTTATACTGAAGCAGGGCGTGAACAAATAATGTGATGCTATTAAATACTTATCTTCTCACCTGCATCTGCCCCTCCCCCACGTCGTGTACACCAGCTCCCTCTTTTGATCAAAAGAAACCAAGAGTGCTATTTCTAGTTTTAATTGCATTTTAAAAAACAAAACATAACAGCGTTATTCAGTGCACGGTATGTGAAGATCCTTCCTTGTGCAAGTACATTTTTGTCAGAGAGGAAAAAAAGAGGAAAAAAAGCAATTAAGAACCCCGCCCTCACCCTTCCCAACTACTTCTTCCGGTGGGTATAAATCAAATCTACTGTGAGGAGTTCGTAACGGGCTCTTCATGAACGCAAGCTTCTCCACAAAACAGCATGCTGTTACCGGGTGTGCGGCACGAAGGGGCGCCGCCATGCTAACTAACGTGACTGGCAAAATCGAGTTGTTTTGTCAGGTAAGGCAGAGATTTTAATAGTTATGTAATCCAAGTCCAAATAAACCTTCCTCCAGCGCAAACTGTTACAACCTTCTGCCCAAGCACTCTACAATTCGGGGTCTTAGTGTTGTCCATGATACTCAAAATTATGCCATATATATGAAAGTGTTGATATCGGATTCATCTCTTCTGATGTATTTGTGCTCTATTAGCCATTCTATTTGCTCTTTTATCATTTTCTTTTGTGGCAAAAACATGTTTTTCAAAATTTCTACTAGTTCAGTCTGCAGCTGGGCATTGCTAATTTTCTTTCTCATCTTCATTATTTGTATGATAGCTTCCTAAAAGAAACAGAATAATGAAAGAGCATTAATATATACATTTTAAGTAAAACAAAAAATGACTTTTGTTTTACATATTTCATCCTTTTTCCAACATCTACCCAAATGATCCATCACTAGTAGATAAGTCTTGAGACCAGCAGCTTTTACTCAACAAAAATACTTTTCACTCAGTGTAAAAGGAAATCTGATTTTGACAAATGAGGAGAAGCAAGATAGCCCATAACCTCTCTATGGAACACCACATTGAATGTTCTGGGGTGCTCACTTCCATTACATTTTTCCACACCGTGCACATTTGAACAATGTATTTTACTTGTGAACACAGCATGTATATAATCTGGCACTGTGTTAAACATCATTTTAAGATACAGCCCTTTTCCATCGTATTCAGAGTTAATTCTTCATGTAGTAGCAAATGCCAGACAGTATCTATTTTTAAAAATCAAAAATTACTACTCTTTATATATTTATCAGAATAATAAACTGTATTTGCCTTAGATTTGTAACTTACTGATGACACACATTTAGTTAGTCGTCGTCAAGGGGAGACACAACCTAAAACCAAGGTTTTGCCCAACCAATAGAGTCTATGGGGTGGGGTCGGGGGGAGCCTGGGTGGCTCAGTTGATTAAGGGTTCGAATCTTGATTCCAGCTCAGGTCATGACCTCACAGATGTGGGACTGAGTCCCGCATAGGGCTCTGCAATGACAGCATGGATCCTACTTGGGATTCTCTCTCTCTCTGCCCCTCTTGTACTTACGCGTGCTCTCTCTCAAAATAATAAACATTACAAAAAAAAAAAAATCTACCAGAGGCCACCAAGACATACAGACAGCTCTTTCAGCAGCTAAGACAATGGATGTCAGCAATACAATTTTTAAATTCCAGTAAAAATTAGCTCTGCATTACAGTTGGGATACCTACATGCTTTAAAATTTTTTAAAACATTTTAAGACAAAAAATGAAAAACTTATGGAACCAATATTGCACTGTGTCTTAACTAAAATTTAGATAAGAAACAAATAAACACCAAAAAAATCCAATTTTTTTCAAAAGGCAGACATTCGGTCTTAACATCACAAACCTGGGTTCTTAGTATCCGTAGCTGAACTATTCCTTCATTCTCTTCTTCTCGCATCCTTTCTGTCGTGAGCTGCAAGCGTCCAATCAAGTTGATTTTACCTCTTTTCTGAACTTTCGCATTTTTTCTATAAAAAACATTGAATCAAATATTTTACAGTGGAAGACCTTTAATTATAGCAACTATGTCTGAGAAAAAAGATACAGAAATTTTCTAAAGATTACTATACTAGAATTGTTTAAATGAAAAGTTACCAATAGTCAACATACAACTTTATTTAAACCGAACCATATGATTTCCCGCAAATGCAACAAAGGTTAATAAAATATGGGTGACCACATGGCCTGTAATACCAAAGCTGATGTAATTCATCTTGCCATGAAAGAGCTTAGAGAGTTTGAAATACATGGGCTGTTATTCAGAATTAACATCTAAGTAGATCTTAAGGGGGAAAAATTGCTTTGTGTGAATAAACTTCTTAGGGTGCAAAACGGTGTTGAAAGATGAAATGCAATATAATCAGATGCCAAAACGTATCCATGAAAAACATGTAAACAAGGGAACACATCCAGTTCATCGATTTGTCTGATAAACAACTAAATGGCAGAAACCTGGCATGAGGTCGGGATACAGATACTTCTTATATGTAATGTAGGAAAATAATCATTTTGCTAACAATAAAACACCAAAGTTCAAACAAGGTATTTTTATTTTACATCCACCAATATCAGCCTTACATTAAACTGAACTCCTGGTTCACTGAGAAGAGGGTGCCTTCCGTAAAGTCTTTGGGTGAGTTGACTTGAGGTTCATACAATAAAACTTGCCGCTTGAGCTTTGGGAAAGCTACTAGAGACTATGAAGAAGAAAGAGAAAACAATTACCATCTATAAATGGTATGAAATAACCAAGATCAGTTTTCCAACATGGCTAACAAAATCACAATCCAACTTCTGTCTGGGGCCTTGATGGGCCTGAAAATGTGAATGTATGTATGGTGAGGAAAGGACACGGAGGGGGGTGGGTCACGAGGAAGGAAGCAGTAAATGACCTCTTTATAGTACGACCAGAGACTACAGCACTGGTCATACGTGATCACAGCAAAACTAACTTGCCAGTGACAAACCAGCTAATTCTCTCTAGACAATTATTTATTCTGGAACTACTTCTTCTTCTTTTTTTTTTTTTTAATGTCTTATTTATTTCTGAGAGAGAGAGAGAGAGAGACAGCGTGAGCAGGGGAGGGTCAGAGAGAGGGAGACACAGAATCTGAAGCAGGTTCCAGGCTCTGAGTTGTCAGCACGGAGCGTGACACGGGGTCGAAACCACAAACCGGGAGATCATGACCTGAGTTGAAGTCAGATAAGTTCAACCGACTAAGCCACCCAGGCACCCCAGTCATAAAATCTTTGAACACATTCTCAGTATGAAATCTTTGGTCACATTCCTGATAGGTAATATGATGAACCATGAGATCATGACCTTAGCCGAAGTCAGACACACAGCTGACTGAGCCACCCAGGCGCCCCTTACAGGTAATGTTTAAATAATCAACTCAACCTTTCTCTCCATCCCGGTTTTTTTTTTTTTTTAATGTTTTTTTTTTTTTTAATTTTTTTTTTTTANTTTTTTTTTAATGTTTTATTTATTTCTAGGAGAGAGACAGCGCGAGCAGGGGAGGGTCAGAGAGAGAGGGAGACACAGAGTTTGAAGCAGGGTCCAGGCTCTGAGCTGGCAGCCAGCACAGAGCCCGACACGGGGCTCGAACCCACGAACCGCGAGATCATGACCTAAGCGAAAGTCAGACGCTTAACCGACTAAGCCACCCAGGCGCCCCTTTTTTTTTAATATTTTTAATGTTTATTTTTGAGACAGAGAGAGACACAGCGTGAGTGGGGGAGGGGCAAAAAGCTTAGGAGACATAGAATCTGAAGAGCCCGACGCAGGGCTCGAACTCACAAACCGTGAGATCATGACCTGAGCCGAAGTCGGACGGTTAACTGACTGGGCCACCCAGATGCCCCACCCCTGCTTTTTAAAGTTTATTTATTTTGGGGAGAGAGAGAGAGAGAGAGAGCATAAGCAGGGGAGGGGCAGAGAAGTAATCCCAAGCAGGCTCCACGCTACCAGCGCAGAGCCCATCGCAGGGCTTGAACTTAGGAACCATGAGATCATGACCTGAGCCAAGATCAAGAGTCAGGCGCTTAACTGACTGAACCACTCACATGCCCCAAGTCTCCCTTTTTTTTCTTTTTTCTTTTCCATCATCTTGGTAACTTGCTTATTTTCAATTTCTTTTTTTATCATGAATACCTCATTAATCTATTTTTTTTCTTGGTTACAGGTCATTTGCAGAGTGTTATGAATTCACAAATTTATTACAAGCAAGCCATCAAACATTTCCAGCTATGTAACTGGATACAACTTTAAAAACAACAACAAAAACCAACCACCCGGGTGGTTCAGTTGGTTAAGCGTCTGACTTCAGCTCAGGTCATGATCTCATAGTCCGTGGGTTCAAGCCCCACGTCAGGCTCTGTGCTGACAGCTCAGAGCCTGGTGCCTGCTTCGGATCCTGTCTCTCTCTCTGTCCCTCCCCCGCTCGCTGTCTCTCAAAATAAAGACATAAAAAAAAATTAAAAAAACAAAAAACAAAAACAAGAACATAAAACAAACCCATAAAGTCCTTCTAAGTTCAGCGTCAGGGAGTTCAGTTGCAAGCTTTAGATTTTCAAAGCTGATTTTCTCTCTGGGTCTTTGGTTCCACGCAAACAACACAGCCAGCTGAAAGGTTGTTACCTCCAAATCGTATTGCCCTACTTCATTCTTAAATGTTATCTGTGAGAGAGAAAGTAACATAAAGGTAAGAATCTCCTCAGGAGGATTACCATCTCCCCACTAGATAGAACACCCCTCACATGAGATTATCCATGGTAAAGACTGGTAGTGGTCTTCCAATATCCATCCTTCCTTTCTTACACGGTAATAACAATGGTAACAGACCTTCATGACTGCCCAGAATAAAGACTCATCTTCCAACTTTCAAGGAGCAAAATGTGGTCATGTGACTAGTTCTGCCCAATAAGATGTGAGTGGAAATGATGGGGGAAACTTCTAGAAGTTGCTTCTAACGCAAGGAATACTTTCATCTTTCCCTTCCTGTTGGGCTGGAAGATGCCACAGTGGGGATCATACTAGATTCTGCAGATAAGAGCAATAATACCTTACACATGGCGATATGACCAGAAGCTAAGTCCCTAACAACTTCACAGACTAGATGCATGGCACCTGCTCAAACTTTCACACAGGAGAGAAACAAAGATCGATCCTGTTTAATCAGCTCTTACTTGGAGTCCTAGTACTTTCAGTCAAACCAGTATCTGAACTAACACACCATCTACTTACAATTCCATTTGACATGAGATGATGCCAATGTAATTTTCTACCACTATGATTTTTTTTGTAGAATTCTTCTACTTCAGGTATCAAGTCCTCCAGTTCAGTAGGAAGGGAGACAAAGACTTTCTCAGAGCTTCTTGACCACGCACCAGCATTCAGAATTTTTATATTAACTGAATCCGCTATAGGTAGGAATATCAGAAAATATGAAGTAAATAATCTTGAAAATGGATAAAAACTCAAAAGAAATTAAATATGTACATACTGGATAAGCTTTGGTGAAAAAGAAAACCCTGAAGATTTTGTTAAAAGTGTCTTTTTGGGGGGGGAAAAAAAAAAGGATCAGAGGGACGCCCGGCTGGCTCAGTCAGGGGAGCACAGGGCTCTCGACCTCAGGGTCATGAGTAGGAGTCCCACGTTGAGTGCCGAGATTACTTAAATAAAAATGAGATTTAAATTTAAAAAAAGAAAACGAAATTAGTGTCTTCATGCGACTGGATCTGAAACATGTAAAACTCAGGCAAGTGAGCTGTGGCTATTCAAAAATAATACACACATACATATATACATACACTATGTATAGAGATTAGCATATCTGGAAAACAAAGATACTCTCTTTAAGAAAGGCTATATACATAATATCTGTAATATACGTAATTATAAAATAATACCTGGTAAAGCCAATTTATTATTTTTGTGCATTTCCTTAAAAGCTTGGTTCAAATCTTCAGATACTTTTATGTCCTGAAACATTCTAGCCAGCTTGTTTACATAATCTGCGGGCATACCAACTTCCTATGAAAAGCAAAGACAAAAGAGGTAATAAACAATAATACATAGATTCTTTAATATAAAATTATTCCTCTTTTATTTGAATACTTATAGTCTAATGTCTATTAAATTTGATTCCTAAAAACTAACTGAGAGAAGACAGGTCACCCAGGCTTTCTCTGCCTGAGTTCAATGTGCATGAATCAGTCACCACAGTAGTTAAGTAACACCAGTCCCCCAGCAACACACCTCAACTTCTGGTTATCGCCGTGTATTAAATGTGAGTGATGCATAAAGTACAAAAACTCACTTCTCATTGGTGACCGATCACCATCCTCCTTTCAAAATCCGTTAGTCATCTGTTTATCAGCTCTCCCACAGAAAGCAAAGCATAGCGACAAATTCACTTGACATTTTATAAAAATGGATAATCAAGAGAGCTAAATGGCCAACGAAGATGATAAAAGCACACCAAGGAAATAAAATACAAAGCTGGAAATGAAAATAGAACATAAATGGAATTCCAGAAGAGTGAGCTGCGACTGTAATGTTGATACTTGCCAATGATAAAGACTAAATATACAAGCATAGAAACTCAGTGAAGGCAAAGTATCAGCATAAATGAAAAGGAAGAGTGGCAATAATAATAGTAACATACTCCAGAGGAAGTGACACCAGCAAAAACTTCCACGACCTTGAGCATCTTAAACAACGGGCTGGGAGCTGACCCAAACCTACAGAGACAACGAAGACTCTCCCGGGCGCACGGATGGTGCTCACTCTGTGTTCTAAGACACGTGACTAGAAGGCACGTGCTCGTCAAACTATTGTTCATTTACACGACAGCTTTCCTGAGATATAATGCATCTGCCACAAAACTCACTCTTTTCCAGTGTACAATTAAGTAGGTTTTAGTGTATTTGGCTATTGAGGGACGTTTTGTATTAGTGGAGTCCTATATACGAGGTGGTCTTTGTAACCGAACTGGTTCACTTTGCATGATGCAGTCAGCAACCATCCATGCTGCAGCGGGTGGTGGTGCTGCCTTTCTCTTAACCACTAAATAATATTCCGTTGCATGATTAATCCACGTTGTGCGTATCCCTTCATCAGCTGAGTGACATTTTGGGTGGTTTCCACTTTGTGGCTCTAATTAATAATGCCGCTATGAACATTCATAGACACGGCTTTGTACAGTCATACGCTTGAGCGGAATTACCTGGGTACAGAACTGCCGGGTCAACTCTGTTTAACTTTTTGAGGAACTGCCAGGGTTTTCCAAAATGACTGCACCAATTTATAATCTCATCAGCAACGCAGGAGTTTCCAATGTCTCCTCCTCCTCACCAACACTGGTTACTCTTTTTAACTTCAGCTTCCCCGGTGGGAGGAAAGGAGGGGGAAAGTATCTCACTGCGGCTTTGATTTGCATTTCCCTAACAACTAACGATGTCGAACAACTTTAATACACTTACTGGCCATCTGAATATCTTCTGTGAAGAAATTTAATCCTTTGCCCATTTTTAACTCAATTATCTTTTTACTGCTGAGTTGTACGAGTTCTTCTATATTCTAGATATGACACTGGACATATGAATTGCAAATATTTTCCTAAGTACTCTTAAGGTTTTACAAAGAAATAATACTTTAGTTTTGTAAGTTTATGTTTTACATTACAGTACACTGTATGTATGTGTTATGTGTATGTATGTAAAATGCATACTCATTTTACAAATTTTTTTCCTATATATTTAATTTTTTACATTTGTTTTTCTGAGAGAGAGACAGAATGTGAGTGGGGGAGGAGCAGAGAGGGAGGGAGACACAGAATCTGAAGCAGGCTCAGGCTATGAGCTGTCAGCACAGAGTGTGATGTGGGGCTCGAACTCATGAACCAAGAGATCATGACCTGAGCCGAAGTCAGATGCTTAACTGACTGAGCCATCCAGGTGCCCCCTTTTCCTATATATTTATAACAGAGATAGTTTCTAACGTTTTGACAGGAATTTCTCAGTCACAAAATAATAATTTTTCCCACTGATTGTTAACATTAAGATCATTTTGCACAGTGTCAGTTTGCAGTGTAATTGTTACTATCCTTTAAGTATCATGCAAAGCAGGGCAATCTGTAAATGTGCATTTTGAAATACATATTTAAATGAAAGACATATATATAAGATACATAACTACATACACTATATATAATCTTGCTATATATTAATAAAATCATATGATAAATCATTAGCACCATATATAAAGTAAAAGACATATTCATTAAAGTGAACTGACAGGAACAGCCTTAAAATATTTTGATATGAGAATTTAGCCATGATTAAATTAGCACTGATTACCCTAAATAAACCATCATCTTTTACGTATTGGCTCTTTTGCCTATACAAAAGCCTTTATTTACGAACATCCCTACAGTTAAGCATTTACTATTGAAAACACCTTAACAATGCAATGATCCGTCCTATAACCCATTTAATGAGGTCAGTTCAAATGAAAGCGGAACTAGAAAACAGCAAAACATCAAAAGCAAAGCAAGAGCAAAGGTGTTTCACTACAAGATTTTATTAAGAAAAACACTTTATTAGGTATCTATTTTATATCACTGATGCCATGCTCTTATAAAATGTCCCCTACTTCTTCAACACTAACAGTACTTAAGCACACATAAGAACCATGTGCTATGTTAAGAAAAACAAATATTAAAAAATTTACTTACTCTTAGCCACTCTACCATATTCTCTTCAATTTCACTATCAGCAGAGATGTCTAATATAAGACGTCGCGTCAAATGAGCTTTGTGATATCTCATAAAAACGTCTTTATTTTGTACGTACTTAAGTACCAACAGCTGTACAGAAAACAGAGTTACTTTCAATTCATGTGCACTCTTTGCCACCTCTCTCACTGAGACCTTTCCATATCCCCCAAAGTCAAAGTCTAGAAATTTCCATGAGCATATACAGAGAGAGAACTACTAAACTGCCCATGTCTGAAAAATAACCAGTCCTGATACACGACTTTACTATTTAAATAATTAGCAAATTTGAGACTGTAAGCAAATAACCTTTTAGTTCCTATAAACATCAATTTTCCAGACTGTATATGCTGTGTAATAAAACCTTACATGAAAATTAAGGGTTCTCCCCCGATTTTCTCTTCTGTAAAGCCTTTTCACTTTTTCTGAAGCTAATCTTCTATGCCTTTTTTACTATATTCTCTATCTTTACTTCTTGTTTTTCTTCCTCTTTGTATTCCTGGATGCACAGCGTATTACACTGACAGCCAGGACACAAACAACGAACTCTGCCCTACACTCACTCGTGCCGAACCGCCTATTCTGGGCTCTCACGAAAAGAAACAAGTGAAAAATTCCCAGTCTCTCCACTGCTGTTCCAAACACCATCAGCCCCGTTTCCCCCTTCTGTGCCCTTTTATAGGAGCTAGCACTGAATTCCTTCAAAAGAATCAAGACGGGGGAAGAATTAAATGTTTTCCTTTCTAGCAGCTACCGAATAAAAATTTCCAGGAAGGAAAACAACTGCCCTATAGAGATCGTACACTGTAAAATTTCACATTAGCTCCTCACAAACATTTTTAAAAATGTGATGCTACCACAGAAAGTCTTACAAGCAAAACACAAATTCAAAGTAAGATAATGAAAATTTCCGAAATAAAAAAAAAAAAAGATATGTACCACTTCTTTAAGCTTTGCTTCAATCTCTTCAGAGGTTAGTTTTTTGCTTAATGGTGTTTTTCTTAACAACATGTCACAGTAATTGGCAAGCAGCTCAGGGCATTTTGATTCAGGCTGAGTTTTTAATCCCACCCTGAAAAACAAATTAAAAGCAATTGATGAAAAGTGACTGATATCTGCAAATATATTTTTTTCAATGTTTATTTATTTGGGAGAGAGAGAGAGAGAACAAGAGCAGGGGAGGGGCAGAGAGGGAGAGAGAGAATCCCAAGCAGGCTCCACACTGTCAGTGCAGAGACCGACATGGGGCTCAAACCCATGAACTATGAGATCATGTCCTGAGCTGAGATCAACAGTCAGATGTCCGACCGACTGAGCCACCCAGGCGCCCCTGCAGGTATTTTTTCTAGAGCTGACTTTTCACAAACAAGTTTCATATGTTGTATAAACCCAGTGATCAAGGCTGAGAGTGGGAAGACCAAGAGAGCGAGGCGGCATCAGGAGAGGAGGCCCTCCCTCTCAGGTTCCCAGAAGGCAGTGCGGGGCCCTGCGAGGGAGACCCCCACGCTGTACCCGGTGACGGCCTGCCCCTCTACTGGCAGCCTCGTCAGGGAGCTGTGGAAACTTTTCTTCAGGTACTTACTTGCTAAGAACTTCTGAAAAACTGCAAATCCATGCATAGTTTTAAGTTAACATTTAAAACTTTTAATTATTAATATGTCAAGAAAAAACTGTCACTTCACTCTGAAAAATACCCAAGGTAACCTAAATTCCAGTTATGTGATATCTACCACCATCCATTTTTAAAAACTGTAAACAAAATTTTCTTAAACAATGAAGAACATGTATCTCTATTTACTTTGCCAACAGAACTTAAAAGCTGTACTGTATTTTTATGCTTGAAAGTTCTTTATCTGACTTCTCTAGACTATCTATGTAAATAAATTTAAATTCAACATTTCAAAATTTCTGTATCTGAAACTCACGTGTTATTTTCCCAGGACTGAGTTAACCAAATTATTTCAAGTGCACAACTTGTCAAAACAACAAACGTATAAGACACAGGCAGTACTTTACTATATGTGTCAACTCTTACGGAGGGAGAGGAAGCTTTTTCCTCCAACTTATGAATCCAGAAATTACTTTTATTTCTACTTTATGTATATATACATATATACATATATATACATATACATATTTCTACTTTATATATATATATATGTGTGTGTCTGCCCCGAAAAATCATACTCACATAAGTGAGTACATGAGATGGGAAGTTTTTCTGATGTAACTCAACTTGTTGAGAACCTTCTGAGTTACTGGCTTAAAAAATACATACAGAACTAACACAAAAGGTTGCTTTTAATAATGCACCAAATTAGCCGTCAATTGTGTGGAAAGCAAAGAACTGGAAACCATAAGACTTGCTAAAGGGTCTGACACCTAGTTATGAGAAAGTCATTTTTGGGGACTCCTGGGTGGCTCTCGGTTGGTGACCCGTCCTACTCTTGATCTCAGCTCAGGTCATGATCTCGTAGTTCATGAGTTCGAGCCCCACATAGGACTCTGAGCTGACAGCACAGAGCCTGCTTGGAATTCTCTCTCCGCCTCTCTCTGCCCCGACCCCAGTTGTGCTCCTTCTCTCTTGCAAAATAAATAAACTTAAGAAAAAAAGAAAAAGGAATTCATTTTCTGTACATCAATCCCAATATTTCGAAATATTCCTTTCTTATACAACTTGGAGTCTTCTTTAAAATGCTTATTTATTTACTTGTTTATTTACTTACTTATTTTGAGAGAGAGAGAGAGAGGGAGAGAGAATACACAAAGCAGGCTCCATTCCATGCTGAGCATGGAGTCTGATGTGGGGCTCGACCCCACAAACTGTGAGATTATGACCTGAGCCGAAATCAAGAGTCGATCGCCGAACGCACTAGGCCACCCAGATGCCCTGGAGGCTTTCCATGTTTCAAGGCAACACGCCATAGTGAGAATAAGGAGAGGTGTGCCTTTCTTTGCAGAGTAGGGAAGACTAATTATGGGGAGAAGTGGAAAGGGCAGAGTTTAAAGATACTGCCACCAGACGGTTCCAGTTTAGAGCAGAGCAGATGTGGAGGCGGAGGACCAAGAATGGATTTCCTTGAAGGTTTCCACACCGGCACTCTCTCAGGTGTTTCTGCATGCCGGCGTAGACCTGACGCCAGTCTAAAGACGGCTAACTCACTCCCTCTCCCTCTATTCCTTCACGTACTCGCACTGCCAGTGCCCAGCTCTTGCACAAACTACTGCCCAATTCGTAGCGGGCCATCTCCCTTCCTCCAATTCACCCTGCGGGGAGGACAGGGTCAGTCCTTTATCGGTGTCTCTTTGAAGGCAGAGTGTCACTTCCTCTCCTGTGGCTGTTTTAGGGCTTCTTTGTTTATTTTCAGTTTTTCAGCTCTTTCACTATGATGTACCTAAGAATGATTTAATTTGTATTTATCTTGCTTGGGATTCAAAAAGAGGCCTGATTCTAAGAGTTGGCATCTGTCAACAATTCTGGAAATTTATGGCCAATAGCTCTTCAAACATTGCTTATGTCCCCTTTTCTGCTCTAATTCCAATTACATATTGCCATAGACATTTTAACTTTCCTCAGTAACAATTTCCACCTACTTGTTCATTAATGTGTATTGTTTGTTCCCTGTCACTTATTACCTATTTAAGCTTGTTATTACGAAGATGTAATTCACATACCATGCAGTTCATCCATGTAAAGTATGTAATTCAATGTTTTTAAATATATTGACAAACTTATGCAACCATCACAATAAAATTTCAAAACACGTGCATCACCCCCAAAAGAAGCCCCACACTCATTAGCCCAATGCCATTCTCCAGCGATCCCTCCCTCCTGGCCGCTGGTTACAAGTAACCTACATGTTATCTTTACGGATTTCCTTTTTCTGAACATCCCAAATAAAGGGAATCATACCATATGTGGTTTTTTGTGACTGACCTTTTAAAATTAGGATAATGTACAATAAACTATTTGTAAAAAAAAAATAAATAAATAAATAAAAATAAAAAAATAAAAACATCAAAAAAAATAAAATAAAATTAGGATAATGTTTTTAACATTCGTCCATATCATAGCACATACTGCTATTTCATTCCTTTTACAAAATATTTGCCTTTTCACTGTGGTACAAAACATTTACTGTTTTAACCACTTTTAAGTTTACAATCAGTGGCAGTAAGTACATTCACAATGTTCTGCAAATTTCGTCAGTTTCCGTGTCCAAAACTTGTTCACTGCCCTACACAGAAACCAAACCTTATATCCATTAGACAACAACCTCCCAGCTCCCTCCCCTCCCCCCAAGTCCCTGCTGAAGTTTACTCTACTTTATTAATGGACCTGCCTATTCCAGAACACCTCACAGAAGGGGAATCATACAAAATCTGTCCTTTTGTGTGTGGCTTATCCCACTTAGCGTTTCTCAGGGCCTTACTCAAGTTGTGTCAGATTCTCATTCCAGTCTCTGGCTCAGGAACAATCCATTGCACGGCTGTACCATACTTTGCTTACCCATTCATCAGACAGTGGGCATCTGGGGTGTCCTTTTGTGGAAGGCTCTAATTAAGAATAATGCTGCTACAAACATTTGTGTACAAATTAAAAAAAATTTTTTTTAAAGGTTTGTTTCGTTTTGGAGAGAGAAAGAGAGCAGAGGAGGGGCAGAGAGAGAGGGGGAAACACAGAATCCGAAGCAGGCTCCAGGCTCTGAGCTGTCAGTACAGAGCCAGACATGGGGCTTGAACTCATGAACTGCAAGATCATGACCTAAGCCAAAGTCAGATGCTTAACTGACTGAGCCACCCAGGCGCCCCTTGCGTATAAATTTTTGAGTGGAGTATGTTTTCGTTTCTCTTGGGCATATACCCAGGAGTGGAAGTGTTGGGTTATATGGTAACTCTATATTTAACTTCTAGAGGAACTATCAAACTCTTTCCAAAGTAGCTGCATATATGTATCATATGATTTAATCTCTCCACATCCTCACCAACCCTTAATGTCTTTTCAATTTTAGCCATCCTAGTGGGTGTGAGTGGTACATCACTGTGATTAAGCTATTAATCTTAATTATCTGGGGGCACCTGGGTGGCTCAGTCGGTTAAGTGTCTGACTTCGGCTCAGGTCATGATCTTGCAGTTTGTGAGTTCGAGCCCCATGTCAGGCTCTGTGCTGACAGCTCAGAGCCTGGAGGCTGCTTCAGACTCCATGTCTCCCTCTCTCTCTGCCCCTCCTCTGATTGCACTCTAGCTAGCTCTCTCAAAAAAATAAACACTTAAAAAAATGTAAAGTTCTCATCTGCTAATTCCAATATGGGATCACCTGACAGTCCGCTTCTAAAATGATTTTTCTCTTGTTGATCCTAAGTTTTTCTGCCTTCACAAGCCTGGTAATGTCAAATTGAATACTGGGCACTCCATATAAAAGAATCACAGAGTCACCAGATGATGTTATCTTCCATTAAGAGTGGGTTCATGCTGGGGTGCGTGGGAGGCTCAGTCAGTTGAGTATCCAACTTTGGCTCAGGTCATGATCTCACGGTGTGTTCGAGCTCTGCTTCAGGCCCGCTGCTGTCAGCGTGGAGCCTGCTTTGGATCCCCGGTCTCTTTCTCACTGATCCTTCCCCTGTTAATGCTCTCTCAAAAATAATACTTAAAAAATTAAAGATTAAAAAAATTTTTAAAAAGAGTGGGTTCACACTTTGTTCTGCTATGGAGGAGACTAATCACTTTAACCCAATGAGGAACTGAGTTGGTTCAAGGCTGGGTTGCAGTTTTGGTAAGAAACAGTCTACTTTGGTTAGTCACTGAATCTAAGGAATGTCCCTCCCAAGTCCAAACAGATGAGAAGTGTGTGGACACAAGGAGTGGCCAGGAACGGAGTATGAGAGATCAAGTAAGCAAGGAGGGTGTCCATGCAGGGGGAGGGCACAGTGGGAGGCGTTAAGGTTCTAGCAGGATGAGGAAGTCATCCTTGTAGGGGGCAGCCCAGCGAGAGCCTCATTAGGATGAGGACTACATCCACATGGAAACAGGCCTGGCACCGTGGCTGTAAATGAGGATGTGCATCTCAAAGTTTGTCTACTGAGAAGGCCTAGCAGCAGTGAGACCCCAAAAGCAACAAACACAACTAGCACCCATCCTGTCCACTAAATATTACTGGCTACTGAAAGAAATTAGGGTTCTGTGGGAAAACGCTGATTCTGAGGCTAGAAAGGGGAAAGTTACAAACTGAGCATAGAAATGATCATGTGCCAAAAAGAAAGAAGAGTTTACTATCAAAAGAAACTAGAAACCAGCTCCCACTAGTGAAATCTAGGATAATGTGAAAGCCAAAATAAAGAGTGATAGTAAATTATAATATTCCTATTATAAATAGAAAACCATGAGTCCATATGCATATGATAAATCGATGCCATCAATCGCAAATGTGATGGGCAATGGGATCCTGATGTAGTTTTAAAGTACCTATTACAAAACAATTACAGATAAAAGCATTAACTTTGTAATGGAGAAATCTGCCAAACACCAACTTCATCAAGTGATCAAACTAAACAAGATCAGGACTGGATTAAATCAAAATCATGTACCTTCAGCTAAGATACAATGAGAAAGAACAAAGTTTCACCTCTGCCGAAGACGCAAACCTGCATCTACTCATGAGGATAAAGAAGATTAGCTCAGACTAAAGGACACTCTTCTTTTTTTTTTTTTTTAAAGTTTATTTATTTTGAAAGAGTGAGTGAGTGTGCGCGCATGAGCAGCAGAGGAGCAGAGAGTGAGGGACAGAGAGAATCCCAAGCAGGCTCCGTACTGTCAGCACAAGAGCCCGACTTGGGGCTTGAACTCACAAACTGTGATACCATGACTTGGGCCAATACCAAGAGTTGGAAGCTTAACTGACTGAGCCAACCAGGCACCCACAAACTAAGGACATTTTACAAAATAACTAGCCTAATCTTTAAAAGTTTCAAGGACAAGAAAATCAAAGACAGACATGGTTCCAGACCAAACAAAATCAAAGGAATATAACTAAATGCAACATATGATTCTGTAATGGATCCTTTTGCTATAAAAAAATTAGAGAGTCAATCATTGAATTTTAAAGAGATCTGAAGAACAGATCTCTTAGTATACATCAAAATCAATTTCCTGATTTCGATAGGTGTATTATTATAATATTTGTAGAAAATATACACTAGTGGACCTGGAATAATGAACATAGTCTCAAATGATTCTAGAAAAATGTTTTCACGTGTTTCCAAAGAGAAAAGAATAAAGAATACTACTTACAACTTTATGTACATCAGCCTGACAACTCAGAATGAATTAAGTTCCTTGAAAACCACAACTGATCAAAATGAAAACTAGGTTACCTAAAAAAACCTAAACAGGCTGAACTTGTGATCAACATCTGCCCATAAGGGAAACCCCAGGTCCAGTTGGTTTTACTTGTGAATTCTATCGAACATGTAAGGAGGAAGTAATACCAATTGCCCTAATTCTTTTAGAACAAAAAAAGGAGAAAATAACTCTCAATCCTTCTTTTGAAGCCAGCATAATCCTCACACAGAAAATGGTAAAGATGTCACAAAAATGAAGACTGCACAGGGCACAAAGACGAAAAAAGGAAGAGATAAATCCCTAATGAATATAGATGAAAAAAATTTTTTGACCAACATTAGCAAACTGAATCTAAGAATATATAAAAAGATCAATACACATCACAACAAAGTAGAGTTTATCCTAGAAACTGAACCTTGGTTAAATGATGTTTTTAAAATTAGCAACGTATTGACCACATCAGAAGAATACAGAAGAAAAACCTTAATCATTTTAACACAGAAAAAAGTATTTAATAAGACTTAACACCCATTTATTTATTATCAAAACTTTTAGCAAGCTAGGAATAAAAAGCAATCTAATTAAGGGCATCTATGGAAAACCCTCAGCTAATTTTGTACTTAGTGATGAAATATTAACAGCTTTTTTCTTGAGCTTGCCGAAAAGGACAGGGAAGCCCACTTCAACTACATCTATCAAAAAATGTACTTATGATCCTAACCAGGGTATCATGGCAAGAAAAATAAGCGGTATAAAGCTCAGAAAGGAAGAAGTAAACCGTGTATTCACAGATTACATGATCATTTACACAGAAAAACCTTGAGAAATCTGCAAAAACAGCTGTGAGAATAGCTTTCACAAGGTAACAATAGAAGATCAACTGACAAAAACCAACTGTTTACCTATAGATAAATTACACTACCTGACTTGAAGACTTAGTACAGAACTATATTATGACTATGTAGTAATGGCCTAAGAATACCAAAACAAATTAAGAGAATAGAATAGAGAGCCCAGAAATACATACATATTTTGTTTTAAAGTTTATTTATTTTTGGTGAGGGGGGTGGAACAGAGTGAGAGTGAGAAGGGTCAGGGAAAGAGGGAGAGAGAGAATCCACAATGTCAGCGCAGAGCCCGAAGTGGGACTCAATCTCACAAATTATGAGATCATGACCTGAGCTGAAACCAAGAGTCAGACGCTTAACCGAACGAGCCACCCAGGCAGCCCAGCATATATATATACATACATACATATATATATATACACACACATACATACATATATATACATACATACATACATATATATACACATACATATATACACATACATATATATATATATACACACATACACATATATATACACACACATACATATATATATATATTTTTTAATATTTTTATTTATTTCTAGGGGAGAGAGAGAGAGAGACAGCATGAGCAGGGGAGGGTCAGAGAGAGAGGGAGATACAGACTCTGAAACAGGCTCCAGGCTCTGAGCTGGCAGTCAGCACAGAGCCCGACGCGGGGCTCGAACCCACGAATCGCGAGATCATGACCTAAGCGAAAATCGGACGTTTAACCGACTAAGCCACCCAGGCGCCCCTATATTTTTGAGTTATTTGATTTTGACAAAAGGCCCCAAAGCAATGCAGGGGGAGGGAACATAATTACATCAAACAGAGACAGAACCACTTGTTACCCATATGGGGGGGAAAAATCATGAGATTTAACCCCCAACTTACACCATACATAATCCTTAATTTAAGACGGATCCTAGAACTAAAAGTGAAAGCTAAAATTATAAAGCTTCCAGAAGAAACAAAAAAGATTATCTTCATGTCTCAGGGGTAGAGGTAGACAAAGGTTTTCTAGGCAAAACATAAAAAGCAAAAAACCATAAAGAGCATCTACCTCTCAAATGATCTATATACAGAACATTTAAGAACTCTTATAGCTCACTAATAAAAAGGAACAATGCAATGAGGAAAAAAAAAAACAAAAAAAGCTGAATACATTATTTATAAAGGAGAATATAAGGCGGCCAGGGGCGCCTGGGTGGCTTGGCCGGTTAGGCGTATGACTGGCTCAGGTCATGATGTCACGGTTCATGAGATCGAGCCCCACATCAGGCTCTGTGCTGAAGCGTGTGTGGATACTCTGTCTCCCTCTCTCTCTACCCCTCCCCTGTGCTCGTGCTCTCTCACTCTCTCAAAAATAAACATTAATTTTTTTTAAATATAAGAAGGCAAAACAATACATGAAAATGTGCTCGGCAGCAAGAGTCACAAGGAAATGGAACTGAAGCCGTAAGAGACCATCACTACAAACTCTAGACCGACCGGAGAGAAAGCGGCAAGTCTAACTGCTGCTGAGGACAAGGAGTCGCACTCCCGTACCTGACCGGTGGGAGGGGAAGCCCCGCGCACACGCACACGTGGGAAGCTGACCGCGGCCCCAGGCCAGCACGGGCGTGTCTACACCACTACACTGCACTGCAAGAGGCCTTACACAAGCGAGTACGTATTGCACGATTCCATGTGTATAAGGTCCCCCGGGAGGCAAAACTACTCTAGGCTGAACTGACCAGGACGGCAGCCCCGGGACGGGAGGAGGGCGGGAGGGGCCCGCAGGGGGCAGGGAGTGGGCGCGGGCAGGGTGTTCTCACGGAGGACACCGTAACCGGGGCGCGGGCGTCCGTCAGGTCTGGAACTAGACACCGACGGTTTCTGCATCTGTCGGCATGTGGATTGTACCTAAAAACACACACCGATCCCATATTCAACTAGTGACTGTCGGCTGAAGTGTCCAGGGAGTGGAAGTTCCTCGTGCCTCAGGTCTCTTCCGAAATCCATTTTAAAAAGCTGACTGCTGCTATATAGAGATACGTATCTGACAAAGCCAATAGGTGGCACAAATTTAAAAATTTTCACTATAAATTGTGTGGAGCAGGGATGAATGAGGAAGACCTTTACGTATCCATGAAGACATTCTGAAGATGTAGTGTTCGTGTGTTTTACATATTTCACAATGTATAAAGAAAACAGGATAAATGCCCTCGTAAATTTCGTCAATGCAGTAGAACATTTTTCTATTAAAAAAAATAAAAACATTTTTTGGTCACAAAAGGAGATGATTTAATACGAAATTAAAATTCAAGACAGTTTTTCCCCCCAAAACTTGAAACAGTTTTTAATATTCAAAGGCAACAAAAATCATTAAAGTAAAAACAAAAACAAAAATCAAACCTAACAGTTCGCATACCGCGTAACGTATAATACACTCCAAAAAAATGTAAGAATTTTAAACATGATTTTTAAAAACTTACCCTTTCTGCTTCAAAGGTAATTCAAGTTTAAATATGGTAGCATCATTAACAACTGCTTTATATGCCTGCAAAGAATTTAAAATGAAATGAGCATTATTTTTAGTTTTATTTAGCATTATTTTTAGCTGGATATTTTATTTATGTATTTATTTAAAATGTTTATTTATTTTTTAGAGAGAGAGACAGAGCATGAGTCCGGGAGGCGAGGAGAGAGACGGAGACACAGAAGCTGAAGCAGGCTCGAGGCTCTGAGCCGTCAGCACAGAACCTGACGTGGGGCTCAAACCCACGAACCATGAAATCATGACCTGAGACGAACTTGGAGCCTTAACCAACTGAGCCACCAGGTGCGCCCCTCTTTCTAACATACAGCTAGATCTTTTAATGGTGTGCCTGGCCTGACAAAATCTTTCAAGTCAATGGCTTCAGCACGCCATTCCTCATGCTATGATCACCATTCTCAAGTAGAGTCTCAGTGCTTGAGACCACCTTCCCTGGTCACCAGACCGCCTTCCCTGGTCAGCACACTCTCAGAACACATTTCCTACCGTCTCCTTTCTCTTCAGCCTCCGATATTCCCCCTCTCCCAGGGAGACTTCCAGCTGACGAGGCTTCCTAGTCTCCTAATAAAACTGAAGTGATGAGAATTCCCTCCCATTTCTGCTCTATCATCAGCTTCCCCCCGTCCACCGTTTCTACAGCTACATATACAAACATTGTTATTTAAATCTTGAAAATTCTCTCTGGCCTTTGTTCACCTTCAGCTACTGCCTCGTTTGTCTCCAACCCATGGTCCCCAATTTCCCCACTGGGAAGACCTTCCACGACCAGGCTCTCACAGCACTGCTCCACTAGCCGTTCCTGCCAAGTCACCTGCCGCCCCCCTGCTGCCCAAGACGATGGCCGAGGCCCATCTCGTCTGACCTCCCAGCAGCAGTTCAAAACAGCAGATCACAGCCTCCCCCGGAAAGTGCTTCTACTACCTGTCATCTATCCAGCGTGCTCTCCTGGTCATTACCCCCTCACCTCAGGAAAGCTGCTTCTTCATCCTTCTTGTAACTGAACTGAGTGCCCCAGGCCGGTGCCTGGATCTCTCTCTCACCTATTATCGTCACTCATTACACGGGTGATCACAGCCAGCGTCCGTACTTTAAATACTATCCAGACGCTAAAGCTCCCGATTTATCTTCCCAAGTCTATTCTCTCCCTCACACGCCCCCAATGATGCTGCCACATGGATGTTTAACAAACCTTTCAAAGGCAACTTGTCCAAAACTGAGCTCCTAATCTCCCTACGACCCTCCGCCCCCGAAACCTGCCTCTCCCGTCATCTTCCCCATCTGAGCAAGCATACGCTTCTCACCGATCAGAACAAAATCTGACCGTCATCCTTGCCTGGTCCCCTTCTATTACACTCTGCATCTGATTCATTACCAAATCTTGTGCAGTCGTCATCAGTCTCCAGCCAACCGGGCCTAGCTCCACCCGCTATCGCTCGGGGCCGCGCCTCCATCCTCACTTCACAGGATCACCTAGTAAGTTCCTAACGGATCTCCTTGCTTCGTCCCTTGCCCCTCTTCGGCCTTGTCTTTTTTCAGCAACCAAGGGACGCTTTTTCTTTTTAATTTTTAAAAGTTTGTTTGTTTATTTATTTTTGAGAGAGAGAGGTAGAGGGAGAGGGAGAGAGAATCCTAAGCAGGCTCTATGCCATTAGCACAGATTCCAATGTGGGGCTCAAACCCACAAACCATGAGATCATGACCCGAGCTGAAACCAAGAGTCAGACACTTAACCTAGGTAGCCTCCCAGGTGGCCTGACCAAGGGATCCTTTTAAAACATAATTCAAATGGGGCGCCTGGCTGGCTCCTTTGGTTGAGCATCCGACTTCCGGCTCAGGTCATGACTTCACTGCTCGTGAGTTCAAGTCCCGTACTGGGTGCTGTGCTGACAGCTTGGGGCCTGGAGCCTGCTTCAGATTCTTTCTCTGTCTCTCTGCCCATCTCTTGCTCTCTCTCTCTCTCTCAAATATAAAAAACATAAAATAAAATATAAGTTATATTCATCTGTTCAGAACCTTTCAGGGACTTTCTATCCAACTCAGAATAAAACCAAACTTCTTCCCACGGCTCAGAGTCTTGTGTGATCTGGCCTCCATTATCTCTTTGACTTTATTTCCTACTGCTCTCCCCTCACTCGGTCCACTCAGGCCACAATGACCTTTTTCTCTCCTGTTCCTGGAACAGGACAGGGATGTTCCTGACTTACAGCATTTGTATCCGCTGTCCCCTCTGGCTGAACACACTTCCCTCATATAACCACATGACTTCATGTCTTAATCACCTTCAATCCTGATTCAAATGTCCCCTCAATGAAGCCTCTGCAAGCCACTCACTCAACATTTCAAACCGACTCACTACCTCCATCCTCTGTTAACACCTTTCCTTGTTTCTCTCTCTATCTACCTACCCACCTACAAACAGAGGGGAACAAAACAAAACAAAACACCCTAAACCCTACTGAAGGAAGTTGATTGCCTTTTTAGAGCCACAAGAACAACAACAAAAAAATCTAACTTGGGAAATAATGAAAGGTAGTTCAAAGCAAAAACACTGACGGTAATTTCTAGTGATAGGTTTATGGCATTTTAAAAGATAAAACCCTAAGGATAATTCTGTGTTTCACTATTATCCCATGCTAGCAAGGACAAAAGGAAGGGTAAGGGAAGCAGGTTAAGTGACATAATACCCAGGAGTCCTGTGAAAATGGCAGAGGACAGAGGGCTCAACTGTGCTTGGGACAGGATGTCGGGGGAGGCAGGCTACCAAGGACACTCCAGAAGGAATGTGCTGTGAGGTGGGTCTTGAAAGATGGAAGGAGGGAAGAACAGGAATTCAATAATCAGTAAGACCAAAAACCAGGAAAATACTCTTGGAAAAATGAAAAAGCAATTTTCTACTAAACTCTAGTTGAGAAGCATACTCAATGCTTATAAAAACATGTACCCAGCCAAATATAATAAAAAGGGTTGCCCTCCACTGATAAAAGAAATCAGAGTTGCTAGGTCTTTTGTTTGTAATTTAGTAGCATAACAGTGTGAGGTTGTTTTTTTTTTTTTTAAAGTAAATTATGACAGGGACACCTGGGTGGCTCGTTGGTTAAGTGTTTGCTTCTTTATTTCAGCTCAGGTCATGATCTCTTGGTTGTGAGATCGATCCCGGTGTTGGGCTCCGTGCTGGGCTTGGAAACTGCTTAAGATTCTCTCTCTCCCTCCCTCTCCCTCTACCCCTCCCCTGCACACGTGTTCGCTCTTTCTTTCAAAAAAAATTTTTAAAATTTAAAAATACAATGACAGTAGTGTTAATATACAGGAATATATACCTTATCCCTTGCAGTAAGAAATCGTGGATCATCTTGAAAAGCTTCTTTGACGAGTTTACTAAATCTATTAAATAATGTAAGTAACTGCTCAACGTATTTCTCAGAGTCCTAAAAATAAAATGTTTCATACTCAGTTGAGGTTTTTAAAAAGAAAACAATACAAAAAAATAACATAAACATAATTTTAATAAAACACTGTAGCGATAAAACTTGGGAATTCTCTGAAAACAATTTTTCTCAATATTAAAAGACGTTCCAATATTACTATTCTGCCATCAATTACTATTTTAAATACCTGATCTTACGTTTAGAAAACAACCCTGACACACAGTCACCACTGCCACGGAGGAAACTCACAGTGGTGATAGTCTCAGCAGCTGCCACCATGTCTGCCAGGCCCGCGCTGATGATGTGCTCCTCCAAGTCCTTCAGCATCGGCTCGATCCCGCTGGGGACCTTGTCCATCAGTGAAAACATTAAATGTAATTCTGAAAGGACAGGGCACACTCATGAAATCATCTCACCCATCAAAATACAGTTTTTCTTTGCTCTGTATCATGGGTCTTGAATGCCTATGACAGGAAGAGTTGGAGAAATATTACCTGGAAACTGAGAACCTTAATGGTACTCTGTAGGTACAGTCAGGTTAGGAGTTGTTATCATAAGTCCTGTAACTTCCTGATCTTCCTTCTCTGTCTGACAAAAATTATTTTTAAAAGAAACTCTAATTCAAAGTGATCACACAGCACAAAACCTAACTCCTCTTACAAGGTGAGTCACTGGACCCTCAATTCCATGGAACATTTTTTATTCTAAGAAGCACAAAAGTTTATGCAGAAGACTAGTCTACTTCATAAAGCAGACACAGTATTAAATACAGAGCACCACATCATTAAGTGGCAAAGAAAAATCACAGCATCAGACTATTCAGAGCAATGATTATAAAAGAAAAAAGTGTATTAGGGATAATATAAAAATTTTCAGTTTATGAAAGCACTGTTTCTTGTTACACCATTTAATTGACCTTTGCAAAATCTTGCCGCACAAAACTGTTTCCCACTAAATCAGTCCTTCTGAGGGGAGCCCAATATGGATCAGAAAGAACTCTACTTAGTTTGGTATACAAAGATTCAAATATTTCATATATGCCAATGAACTTTTTACTATAAAACTAATAACAAGCATATGAACCTAGGTGACCTTAAATACATCTTTAAAGGCAACTGGAGACTTTTATACACAATGAAATCTGAGGAGCAATACATCAAAGTGTTAAAAGTTGTTACCTCCATGTGGTAGAAATATAGATAATTTTTTACCATATTCCTTTTGGTTGTAATGTAAGTTCAATCTCCCAAAATATACCTTTAGTAAGAAACATGTAAATAATAAAAAAGAACAACTTGCAGAAATCTTAAATTGTAACATATTTTCGGGGAGAGGGATGAAGTCCATTAACATAAAGTGTTCTATTACTTTCTAAAAATATTTGTCACAAAGTTCCACGCAAAGGTCAAATACCGAATTCTTTCCTATCCCATATGTTTACTATTTTAAATTAGTCTTTAGAAGTGGAGTCACACAATTTGAGGACAAAATGAAATCCACTCCCATTCCCTGCACATAAGTATTGATACTAAAGGGGTAATGTTTAAAATGTAAATGTGTAACCTTTATAGTACTCACGTTAAAAACCTTACCATTTTCTTTAAGCAGTTTACTGTAACAAATATATCTATATATAAAAGAATGATCTAACAGCAACTTATTAAAAGTGATTTGCTTCAAAGATACTTTTTTTTTTTCAATATTTTTATTTATTTCTCGGAGAGAGAGACAGCGTGAGCAGGGGAGGGTCATAGAGAGAGGGAGATACAGACTCTGAAATAGCTCCAGGCTCTGAGCTGGCAGTCAGCACAGAGCCCGACGCGGGGCTCGAACCCACGAACCTCGAGATCATGACCTAAGCGAAAGTCGGACGCTTAACCGACTAAGCCACCCAGGCGTCCCCAAAGATACTTCTTAAAAGATTATGAGAACTTTATGTGATGTTTTACCTACTTTCAGTTTCATTTCGCTTGATCATGCCTTGGCACTCGGCTAAGATGGTCTCTTTAAAAGATGTCACCAGGGCATTGACACAGCATTCCATGAGCTGAAAAAAAGCAAAAATTGGTCAAGGCTTATCATAAGCACAAATCCACTCCACTCCACTTTTTAGCTCCATAAAACCATACTGTTCAACACCACCACCAAAAACTGAATATACTGAAAGCAGACTTTACTTACCTTTACCACAGGAACGTTGAAGGTGGGTACCCTATGCTTGTTTTACCAAAGTATATTTACACCTAAGAAAAAGGCTATAGAACTTATGTTCTCTTTGTGAATTTTAATAAAAGCCCCCAAGAAGGGGAGGGAAAAAAACTGGAAAATATACAAAACAAAATGAAAATAATAAACTGATGAATTCTTATCTGGAGAGAACGTGTGTTAAAATTAGATTCTAAAAGTCTGAATACATTCATTCAACAAACCACCGCTAGATGCCTAGTGTGTGCAGGCACCAAAGTGGTTCAAAGACAAAGAAGACTAAGGTATATCCCCTGCTTTGAAGGAGGTCACCATCTACTTGAGGGTAGGTAAGAATGCAAACATAAACTAATTGACACAACCAAGTTACTTGGCGCCACAAACACACATGCCCAACTAACAAAACCAAGCAGAGGAACCATGTACTTCTTTCTGGGGTAGTTAAAAAAGTCTCATCTACAAGATGAAATCTAAATTGAATCTTGAAAAATAATTACAAGTCCAAAATGGATTGAGTATTTTAGGAACAAGAAGCTGGATATGGTAGGGAACGAGACAGTGGAAGAGAAAACTAGAAAGGTAGCTGGAGGCAGATTATGAAGGGAAATTTATGGTTTGGGCTTTTATTCTACAGGTAGTGCAGGGAACAAAGAGTCAAAGGTTTTAAACAGAGGAGAAACACAATGAACTTCTGACCCCGCAAGAGTAGACTGGTCAGCGAGGCTGTTGTAATATCCCAAGGAACACGGCCAGGGTCCAGTGTTCCAGGCGGTCTTCACATGACCCACTGCTCCCCGCCACTGCTCCCTTATGTCACAGAATTACTTATTCTTCTTGCAGGCCTCAATTAAAACACAGTTGTGAGCACTAGAGCAAGGTACCCTACGGCTGATTGGTGCGTACCATCTGAAATGAAGATCATCCGTCTGTACTGAGGAAGGGAGTTATGCTTAAAAGCTCTTTGTTAAAAATTCTCCTTGGAACTGACATATGTTCATAATTACTGACGCTAAATTTAGGTAATGGGGATTCATTATACTATTCTACTTTATAAATCTTAAAAAATTTCCAGAATAAAAGCTTTCTTCAGGTCCCTTTTTGAGAATTCTGCTAACAAATTTAAAATCCATGTATGCCAATTTCCTAAGGAAAATAATACACACAAAAGGTGGTCGGGAAACTTCTGCCTGGCCCAGGCAGGAAGGTCTGCCCCCAACCTGAGTAATCTCATTCTCTCCCAGCTCTGTGACAGGCACAGCAGACCACAGCCACACTCTGCAGCGAAGCGGACTGAGAGTAGGTAAATCTAACTACTATATAATGGAGAAGAGAGAGAAAGTGCAATCTAAATAAGTTCCAAGCCTCTGTCACTTCATCTCCATTTTCATTTTGCTTTTTTAAAAGTGTATTTATTTTGAGACACAGAGAGTGAGTACATATGAGTGGGGGAGGGGCAGAGAGAGGAGAACATTGACAGCAGAGCCCAATGTGGGGCTTGATCTCACGAACTTGATGTAAACTGAGCAGAACCTGGTAACTAGACAAAACGAGTTAGGGAAATAAAAGTCTGTTAGAGTGGTTTCTAGTTTGAGAGGTTTAATTATTACAGTAAAGGCTATCTTTCCATGAGCACCCACTCTGTACCAAGCATTGCACTAAATGCTTCACATACATTACCTTATTTAACCCACATGACACATATTTAACACATAAGCAAACAAGCTTACAGGAGCTGAGTAACTTGGAAATGTTGCACAGTCATTCATGAGGTCTTGTAATACGAGGCGTTATGTGATTCCACAAACTGTAACTTTTGTTTCTACATGAACAGATCAAGTATAGGCTTAATAATGGCTACATGCAGAGAACTAAGTGCTTTAAGGAACAAAGTATAGAACATGGTTTGTATCTTCAATAATCTTTCAACCCAGCTAAGAATAGGTAAGTGTATACCTGAAAATTCATGTGTAATTCACATATAAGAGGTACATTAAAAGAAGTTCAACTCATTAACAACAGCTTTCCCTTATTGCAAAGGGGAAAACGTAACAAGACTGTCAGTTCCTTGAGGCAGAGATAATATTCTTCCTCTTTCTTTTTTATTTATTTTTTAAATTTAGTTAGCATATAGTTAGTTAGCATATAGTGCAACAATAACTTCAGAAGTAGACTGCTTAATGCCCCTTATCCACTTAGCCCATCGCCCCTCTCACAGTCTCTCCAGTAACCCTGTTTGTTATGAGTTTTGTCTCTTATGTTTTGTCTCCCTCCCTGTTTTTATATTCTTTTTGCTTCCCTTCCCTTATGTTCATCTGTTTTGTATCTTAAAGTCTTCACATGAGTAAAGTCATAGGATATCTGTCTTTCTCTAATTTCGCTTAGCATAATACCCTCCAGTTCCATCCATGTAGCTGCAAATGGCAAGATTTCATTCTTTTTGATCGCCAAGTAAGACTCCATTGTATATATACACATCTTCTTGATCCATTCATCCACTGATGGATGTGTGGGCTCTTTCCATACTTTGGCTGTTGTTGATAGCGCTGCTATAAACACTGGGGTGCACGTGCTCCTTCAAAACAGCACACCTGTATCCCTTGGATAAATACCTAGTAGTGCCAATTGCTGGGTCATAGGGTAATTCTATTTTTAATTTTTTGAGGAACTTCCATACTATTTTCCAGATTGGCTGTACCAGTTTTCATTCCTCTTTCATCTTTCTTTCCCTTCACTTACCAAAATATTACATACAGAGTCAACCCTACACATATTACTTGTTATCTGAAAAAGCCACCTTGAATGGGAAGGAGAGTGAGAAGTCAGCTCTCTCACCTTGTACTTCCCTTCTGTCTCCTTTTGCCAGGTTTTGTGGAGAACACAACTTTTTGTCATATGCCATCACCTCCTGTGTTTTGCCTGAGATGAACACAAGTTCTAAATCCAGAGTGATCTCTCCCCAGAGGGCTGCAAGGTGCGACACCTTCACTATCAATGTGCTTCATGTTTTACCTTCCTCTACAGCAACTCTGCAAAGATGGCGCCTGCCTACCACACAGCAGGCGCTCAGTACCTGCCAGCGCGATGGAGGTGGGACAGGTCGGCCAAGTGAGGTGGAGTCTTCCTTCAGTGGTATGCAATTTGCACCACTGGTTCTACTTCACTGAAATTTTGTACAAAGCAACAAGAATGGCTCTTTTGTTAATTATGTAAGTCTATACAAGTAGTAATTTGTTTCAGCCCAACTACAAAATAGGAGATGAACTGAAAATTACCCTCGGTTTCTCCACATTAAGATTTTACCTGATCATTATGGTCTTTAACCATAAGGAGATCTATAACATACTCAAGAATTAACTTATTCTATGTGTGGAAGGTTATTCTCAAAATTAATTTCCCTTGGCCTTTCTGGCTTGGTTAAAATTTCTTTATTTTACCATTATGACTAGTACTTGTTTCATTTATCAACTATTTACACAACTACACGGGACAGTGAAGAGTCAGACTGACCCTGAGTTTTCTGCAATCGCCCTTAATACACTAAAATAGTGAAAGTTAACAGATACTTTAATGTTAGTAATTTATGACTTTGTGGCCTGGTTGCTAATTTTTAAAATCAATGCTCTGTATCTGTTCTTATCTGTCTTCAAATCAGCAACTTTCCCCGCACTTGAGCCCTAGCAGTAAAAACTACCGTGCCAGACACAGTGTTTTAAGTGCCTTAGACAACACAGTGGGTATTATCCCATTTCACAGTTAAGAGAACACAGATTACAAAGGCTGAAAAACTTGCCAGAGGACACAGCTGGTAAATCCTCACGTGCTGCAGTACGTACCCCTGACTGCTATTGACACCCCACAGCCCCCGCCGCTGAAGCCTCTCTGCTGGCTTTACAAACGTGCTGCTGCCTGCGGGACCCAGGACCACCCGGCGAAGACGGAGCTGACGAGAGGCCTGCATGCCTCGGGGTGAGGAGCTGGCAGCTGTCCCACCAGCATGGGAAGTGCCACACTCAGCTGCCAAGGTCCTGGCCGGGCCGGCATCCTGGGTGTCTGTGGAATGTTCTCTGGAGAAGGCAGAACCTCCGTGACACATACCTCACACACACACACGCTGCCACTGAGGCATGCTTGCACACGTGTGCAACAACACACACAATGCAAGGGATCCACGCTGGGGCCCCCAACTCAAGCTGGGTTAATTAAAACCCTGAAGCCAGCCCCTTATCTTTTTTCAACATGACCTGGAAGGCCGGGCTGGCGGCTCTCACGGTTCCCATTTCAACACCGCCACCAAACACCACCAGCTGCAGAAGGCAACAGAGCAGAACAATATGTATCTAGAAAGTTCTTGCAAACCTCCAAGTCCATAAATCCAGATATCCTTCATTTTAGTTTTATCCCTGTACTTTCCACTGGATTTTACATGAATTGACACATTGGCTTTTGTCTGAGATGGTCTTGCTCCTTGCAAACACGAGCGCTAACTACGCATGTGTATGTGCAATACATGCATTCAAAATTATGCAGCAATCTTTATGTCTCTTCTTTATACACCCCCAAAGAACCCTTAGGAACTCAAGATCTAGAAATGGACTTCATTAGAAGCCTAGCTTCACCATTTCCTAGCTGTCGGAGGCCAACCTCCTACAGTCTCTGAGTTTCATTTTATTCACTTATAAAAGAGAAACAGTAACGGCTCCTCCCTACTAGTTTTTCGTTCTAAATACACCCTGAATCCCTCCACTTACATACCCGTCTCTACTGCCCATCAACACCTCTCACCTAGATACGGTTTGTGAGCCAAATATCCCCATGGCAACCCGAATGCCCTTTCATACACAT